TTAGCTGTTCCTTCCCTGTTCTCAGTTTGTCAAGTCAGAGGGTCCGCGTAAGACGGTAAACGCACAAAGTAATCCACCTTGCTAACTCTGAAGTGCCGCTAAACCCCCTGAGTGATCCTTAATGTTTACTGAAGTTTGAGAACCTTGAATTAGAAGATCTCTGAGTCCCTTCAGATTGTTGACATTGATAGCCTGGCACGTCCCTGCTCTAAAGATCATCTCACATTTAAAGTAAAGCGCAGATACCTGTTCCTGCTTTCTCATTTGAGAGATCGAGGAGGGCCAGTGTTTTGAATTTGACATACATGTATGGAAGAATGTAAGAATTGTGAGGACTTGATAAAAAATACATTTTATACATACTCTAAAGCACTGTTTCTAGGTGTGAATTGCGGGGAATTCAGCTGACCGTCTTATGTCTGTTTAAACAAGTGAACCATATTGCTTGTCATTTGTTTGCGTTCAGTTTCCTGATACGTTTTTCTGTTCTTTTCCTTTCACGTTTCTCTGATTTGGCCGGAGTTATTGGTGATTGGCCAAAGGAAACAGTAACTTCTTGGAAGGTTTGTTTTAACAGTACTACAAAGTCGTACCACTTAATTTATAGCCACTTGAGAGCTCAGATGTTCATTAGTCTTAAGTCATTATGAACTAGTTTTGTAGTACTGTAATTAGATCTTGTATAAAACATTCTATATACTTTTGATCCATTCTCCTTTACAGAAACTCTGTATTTGACTTCCTGTTCATTGCAGAGGGATTTAGTATTAACAGAAAACTAAACAAACAAAGATTGGTATTTTCTTTTTGCACAGTAGCTAGACTGGGGCTTAAGTCTATTTTAAATTTAAATTATGTCATTTTAATGATGTACCTATTTCCATTTGTGTGTTTTTTTAAAAAACAACTTGGTTTTTTGTTTTGGAAAAAAAAAAATAGCTTCTTTGTCCCGTCTTCCTCCTTTCCCCATTTGCTTTCCTTTACACACATTGTAGGTCCAAAGACTGAACCAAAATTTTGAATACAGAATTTCAGAAAATTGTGTAATATACCATTTTTTATGCTGTAAGATAGGCCTCACAATATTTGTGTATAATCTACAAAAATTAGGTTTCTAAGCTTGCTAAAATTCGATTCTGTTTATACAGAAAAATGGAATTGTGGCATTTCCCCGCTTAAGTCCTTTTAATTGTTGGAATAGAGATCAAGGCTCAGAAGCTTCATCTCTTGATATTTTCATGCTTTGACTATTAGCTGTGTGGTAAATTTAGCATAGATTTGGACTTAAAGTTCGTAGCTCTGTCTTCTGTGTTGTTCAGGTCATCCCAGCTACTCTCAGTTCACCCTTTGTTTCCCTTAGGACCTTTAAATCATGGGTTAGAAGAACATTTATAATTTATATAAGGAAAGTAATACTTTTTCACTGTTCGCTTTTAAGTTATAAATTATATGCAGACGTTCTTTGGCCTTGGTCACTAATGCTACCCTACATTCATTTTGTAAAGTCTTCTTAGAATCCTAAACCCTAAGCTAACAAAATAGTTTTTTGTTACATAAGTTTTTGATTTCTCTGACTCAGAACCATGTGGATGCACGTATTAGTTAAACAGCATTCTTTCCTAGGCCTGCATTGCCTCTCTTCTGCACACTTTTCTTGGATATTCTTGTGTACTCTCCTGGTATTAAACAACATCTGTATATACTGATAATTTCCAAATTGATATCTCTGGATTTCTCTCCTGAGCTCAAGACTCATATATTAGTTACCCACAGACATCTCTACATGAATGTCCCCTAGGCACCTCCAATTCAATATATTACAAAACAAACTCATTATCTTTATCTCCAATCTTACTCCCTGATACCATGTATATATCATTTTGCATTTCATAGTAAGAAAGTATAGTATGATTTGATATCTTGAAGCATAAAATATAATAGTGTTAAATTTGGAAGTACTTGTTAGCTTTGCTTTCAAATAACCATTGCTTTACTAAGTAGAAATGAGTGATATATATGTGCTATATTAATAAAAGTGTAGAGAACACAGTTAAACAAAACAGCAAAGAGGAGGCAAAGGGCTGGCCTGGACACATTTTTTATAAATGAGGATTGGTAAGTATTTGTAGCTAGAAACAATAAAACTGTGAAGAAATTCCTTTTTTAAAAAACTCGACTTTTTAAAAAATTTAAAAAAAATTTTATTGAGATTTCAGATGTATGACATAGTGATTCACAATTTTTAAAGGTTACATTTCATTTATAGTTATTTTAAAATATTGGCTATATTCCCTGTGTTGTATAGTATGTTGTTGTAGCTTATTTATTTTATTTTTTAATTTTTTTTGGTACGCGGGCCCCTCACTGTTGTGGCCTCTCCCATTGCGGAGCGCAGGCTCCGGACGCGCAGGCTCAGCGGCCACGGCTCACGGGCCCAGCCGCTCCGCGGCATGTGGGATCTTCCCGGACCGGTGCACGAACCCATGTCCCCTGCATTGGCAGGCGGACTCTCAACCACTGCGCCACCAGGGAAGCCCTAGCTTATTTATTTTATACCTAGTAATTTGTATCTCATCCCCTAAACCTATCTTGTCCCTCCCCGCTTCCTTTTCCCCACTGGTAACCATTAGTTCTCTGTATCTGTGAGTCTGCTTCTTTTTTGTTATATTCACTAGTTTGCTGTATTTTTTAGATTCCACATATAAGTGATATCACACAGTATTTGTCTTTCTCTGTCTGACTTATTTCACTTAGCATAATACCCTCCAGCTCTATCCATGTTACTGCAAATGGTGAAATTTCATTTTTTTTTATGGCTGAGTAGTATTCCATTGTATGTATTGATATGTATGTATACACACACACATACACACACACACTTTACATCTTCTTTATCCATTTATCTGTTGATGGACAGTGAGGTTGATTCTGTGTCTCGGCATTTGTAAATAATGCTGCTGTGAATATCAGGGTGCATGTATCATTTTGAATTAGTGTTTTGGGGTTTTTTTTGGATATGTATATCCAGGAGTGGAATTATTGGGTCAAATGGTAGTTCTATTTTTAGTTCTTTGAGAAACCTTCTATAGTGGCTGTACCAATTTACATTCCCACCAGCAGTGTATGAGGATTCCTTTTTCTCCACCTCCTTGCCAACGCTTGTTATTTGTCCTGTTTCTGATGATAGCCATTCTGAGTGAAGAAATTTCCTGAATGGACCGTGTAAAATGTTTTAAGACATTTAGAAGTAAAGTAGATTAAAACTACAGATAAAAGTTCTATTGTTTAAAAAATATTGCTAATTTAAAAGATAATAGTAATAATAGTTTTATATTAAAATATAACACAAATCCTTACAGATAGTAAAATCCTCTTTGATGGATCATAAAAGGAATTGAATATAATGTAAATCAGGTTGGAAGTGCTCTTGGAAATACTTGTTTTAAAATCCTTATTTTAAAACACTTAATTTAAATTGATTTGGAAATACATTGGTTTTAAACAAATTTTCTTTGGTGAATTGATTTTGGGTATGTTAGTCTGTAACCGTATAAATGTACTCTATTTCATCAAATCTAAAGGCATACTATAATATTATATGCTAAGAAAAAAATGCTTATAATTGATGACACTGTGTTCTTACACTTAGAATTTTTAATTTTTAAAGAACTCTTTTATACTTCTTGATATTTAGATAATAGATTTTTAAAAACCATTTATTACTATTGTGCATATATATATAAAGGAAAATGTAGATGAAATGTATTAGTGAATATATTCCTAAAAGTTATTTATATCACCATAATTATAAAACATATTCTAATTTCAGAGAAGTTAAAATACAAAATGTGTGTCCTAGATTCAATGAGACAGTATACCTTGAGTGTAGAGGGGACGTGGGGACAGTGCTGTAGGCTTGGGCATCATCAGTGTATGACGTGGGTGTGAAGGAGGTCACCCAGGGAGAGGGAAGGTGAGGCAGAAGAGACCTAAGAGAAGGGCTTTGAGAAGCATTAACTTTTTAATGGAGTGAGCCAAGTTCCCAGGAGAGAATTTGAAGAGGAGGGACTCAGAAGGTAGAAGAGAACCCTGAGAGTGCTGTGTGTAGAAAGCAAGAGACTGAAGGGGTTTCAGTGAGGTAGGGTGGTTCCTAGTGTCAGAAATGCCAAACAGGAAGGAAGGTATGTGTTCATCTCAAAGCTTGGGAGTTAAGTTAATAGGACCTTTTACAGTTACGTGAAGGGAAAGTGGGATGTTTACTTTCTTTGCATTAATTTTGAATGACTATGTGCCAGTATAATAAACTAGGCAACTTATACTAAATTAGGCTATACGTCTTCAGTTTTCTTAATGTTAAATTTAAAATGTTATTGTTCACCTGCTTGTGGCCAAGAAGAAATCAAGGAATAGAATAAATTAAGGTAAACATTTTTGCTTATCTGCCTTTCAGTGTTTTATGAGAATAATCTTAAGGTGCCTTAAGTGGTCTTTCCTCAATCTACTTGATTTTACGAGTGAGAAAAGTAACCCAGAAAACTTAACTGATTTGCTCTAAGTTGATACTTCAGTTCATGGCAAAGGCAGGAAGTGGACGTGTTCTCTAAATCAGGTTTCTGCCAGATCTGCCGCACTGTTTCTCCCTTCTTAAGTTTAAGGTGATGACTTGTGAAGATTTGACTAGCTGGATGACTGCACCTTGTAGTAGAGAGGTAAGCAGATGGTTTTAAGTTAGTAATGGAGAATATTAGAGAATATAGCAAGTATCATGTAACAGGGAAAATGGGTAAAACCTTTGTAAAGATTTAGAGAGAAATGTTTTGTGTGTGTGTGTGTGTGTGTGTGTGTGTGTGTGTGTTTTCTCTTAATTTTCAGCATATGATATGATTATTTTCTTCAATAACAGTCTGAAAATATAAGTACATGTGAATATCAGTCATTGAAATATTGAGAATAACTTTATATTTTAGAGTAACATAATGTTCTGCTTATTTCTTTAATAGAAAAAATGAACGCAGCAAACCAACCTCCACATAAAGACACTGGAAAAACTGTGGAGAATGTGGAAGAATACAGCTATAAGCAGGAGAAAAAGGTCCGAGCAGCTCTTAGGACGACGGAGCCGGATCATAAGAAGAACGTGCAGTGCTCGTTCATGTTGGACCCAGTGGGTGGGTCTTTGCCCAAAAAATCAATTCCAGACGTGGATCTCAATAAGCCTTACCTCAGTCTTGGCTGCAGCAATGCTAAGCTTCCGGTGTCTGTGCCCATGCCGATAGCCAGAACTGCACGCCAGACTTCTAGGACTGACTGTCCAGCAGATCGCTTAAAATTTTTTGAAACTCTGCGACTTCTACTAAAGCTTACCTCAGTCTCAAAGAAGAAGGACAGGGAGCAAAGAGGACAGGAAAATACGTCTGCTTTCTGGTTTAACCGATCTAATGAACTGATCTGGTTAGAGCTACAAGCCTGGCATGCAGGACGGACCATTAACGACCAGGACCTCTTTTTATACACAGCCCGTCAAGCCATCCCAGATATTATCAATGAAATCCTTACTTTCAAAGTTAATTATGGGAGCTTTGCCTTTGTTAGAAATGGAGCTAGTTTTAATGGTACTTTGGTAGAAGGGCAGTGCAGAGCCCCTCATGGGACAAAGGTTGTGGGTTACCCAACATATCATGAGCATCTCCAACGCCAGAGGGTGTCATTTGAGCAGGTCAAACGGATAATGGAGCTGCTGGAGTACATAGAGGCACTTTATCCATCGTTGCAGGCTCTTCAAAAGGACTACGAAAAATACGCTGCAAAGGACTTCCAGGACAGGGTGCAGGCGCTCTGTTTGTGGTTAAACATCACAAAAGACTTAAATCAGAAATTAAGGATTATGGGCACTGTTTTGGGCATCAAGAATTTATCAGACATTGGCTGGCCAGTGTTTGAAATCCCTTCCCCACGACCATCCAAAGGCAATGAGCCCGAAGATGAGGGTGAGGACACAGAAGGAGAATTGAAAGAGTTGGAAAGCAGTACGGACGAGAGTGAAGGAGAACAAATCTCTGATCCACGGGTACCAGAGACCAGGCAGCCCGTTGACAGCAGTTTCAACATCCAGTCACCGGACTGCGTAACTAAGAAGCTTGAGAGGCTTGAATCTGAGGACGATTCTGTTGGCTGGGGAACACCAGACTGCAGCACAGAAGCAGGCTTCAGTAGACATTGTCTGACTTCTATTTATAGACCATTTGTAGACAAAGCACTGAAGCAGATGGGGTTAAGAAAGTTAATTTTAAGACTTCACAAGCTGATGGATGGTTCCTTGCAAAGGGCACGTGTAGCACTGGTAAAGAGTGACCGTCCAGTGGAGGTAGGTTTCCGGTGGGCAATAGTATGTATGATCTTGTTCTTAGTTCCACTATTACTTGTGAATTACAACGTGTGTTGTGTTATATGTAATGTGTACTTTCATGGTCTCGATTTTTTTTTAATTGAAGTATAGTGGATTTACAGAGTTGTGTTCATAATCTTGATATTTTTAAGGCATAAATGGCAGTTATTATAAATTGAGGATTTAAACGTTTCTATAAAGCGTTGTGATAAAAGGGAAAGTGGATCTGTGAAAACTGTATGAAACTGAGTGAATTAAGTGTGTGGAGGGAAAAAAATCCAACGATTAAATATAGGATGGAGAAGGGCAGGCTAGCTATAAATAAAGAGGGAAGAAAAAGCCATAATCATGGGTGGCCACAAGCTGGATAAGAGTCAGTAAAAAGTCAACATGACGCTAAAATATTGTTAAATGAGTATGGCATCCAAGGTCATGGATATAGTTCTTTCTCTATTCTTTGCAATAGCTTACTTCCTTTTGAGTTGCATGTCCAGTTTTGGTCACTGGATTTTAAAGAGAGAAGAATTACAGAGAAGGCCAAGAATGATCAAAGGGGAAAAGTATACACTATTTGGTAAGGTTACAGTGTTTAGTGTGGTTGCTGGAAGTTTAAGGGAAGTATTATTATCAAAGACACGTTTCGATATGAGAAGATTTTTGTGAGAGGAATATGTCTAGTAGAGGAGTTGATTTGAAAATAGTACAGACTTGGTTTTAATAGCTTTATATCTCAGAAATTCTTTACCATTAAGGGTGGTAAAACTAGAAAGGGGCATATTGTGGGATATTGTCTTGAGAGTGAAAGAGTATAAGCAATTTTTCTGTTGTGGTGAGTTTGCATGTTCATCTGGCTAAAAGCAGAAGCACCCAGATCTTTGAGATCCCTAATTACCTGAGTAGGGCTGTGATTCTACATTTTAATAGCTAAATACATACATATGTATATAGTTGTACTTTTCTTTTTTTTTTGCGGTACGCGGGCCTCTCACTGCTGTGGCCTCTCCCGTTGCAGAGCACAGGCTCCGGACGCGCAGGCTCAGCGGCCATGGCTCACGGGCCCAGCCGCTCCGCGGCATGTGGGATCTTCCCAGACTGGGGCACGAACCCATGTCCCCTGCATCGGCAGGCGGACTCTCAACCACTGCGCCACCAGGGAAGCCCAACTTGTACTTTTTTTAAACTTGGGTTTATTACACGATCTGGCTTGCTTTGGAGTCAGATGATAAAACTGAAGGTATTCCTTAAGATGGGGAACATTGGAAGAGAACCCGGATTTCCAGTATTTGAAGTTTTAATCTGATGGCCAGATTATGGACCCTTAGGAGAAGGGGGTCAGGTGTTCACATAATAGAGCAGGATGTTTGCAGAATGAATCAATACTTTGTAGCTGTTAAGAGTTTAGTTTACTTTGAGTATTATTTTGATTAGAAATCTCAAAACTGCATTTTCTTTGAGCAGTGTTTTGACTCTGTGAATGATGTTTTATGTACATCTTTGATTAGGGCAAGTGATGTTTTCCCCTCTTAGTCCATGAATAACTATTTTATAATAAGAATTTATTATGCTGCAAGTTTCAGAGTCAGTAGAGCAGAACTAGATATGTAGTAAAGATTTGGCATATGCTTCAGATGGTGAATAGCTTACTTTAGTTTAGGTTTTTGGCTGGAGAGTGGTTAGGTTCTAACAAGGACACCTATGGACAGGACGGGGTTGATTAATTGTTATCATGAAGGACTGTTTTTGAAGTAATATCAGTGAAAAAGTCCTGGCATTATTACCTCATCTTTGATTCAGTGGTTCTCCTAGGAGAGAGGGGCTCATGGTGAGGGCTCAGGGAGACGTGTCAGGGCTCCTTAAAACTGCGTTACGCTCGCTCTCGCAGACTGTCTTCCTCTCCCCTGAGGACCCTCTGTGGCAGTGAATCACTGCTGCTGCGCTTTGCATCCATTAGGTGTGTTGGAACAAGAAAGAGGTTGAGAATGAGCGCGCTGCATTTTCTGTTAGAACCCTTGCTGAAAAAAGATAATGAGGTAGCCCATAGCTTTGAATTCCTATCAAAGTTGTACGCCTTTGGTTTGACCAGTTGAGATTTAACTGAATGAGAAAGTTATCCTTGTTATAGAAGAAAAGAAATACATACACATTCAAAGTGTGTGAATTAAACATGTTTATTAGAATTATTTGAGATGGTTTACTTTTCAAACAAAAATGCAGTACAGAAGCCCCTCTTGTTTTAAATTTTGGTTTATAAAATGTTGTGTTTGTAAAATAATGAAAGAGTAACCAAGAACGAAAATTCTTCTGTATTGGAGATTAACCCAAACTAATAAAAGATAAGCCTCCAAAATTATAATTAACTCAGTGGGAAAGTAAGACTTTATTTTTATTCCTATTTCAGGGACATAATTTCTATAAGGCGAAGTGCGTGTATACAAATGTAAATGAATATATGTACACTCCCCTTCTGGGTTTGTTTTGTTTTAGTCTCCTTACTAAGTATGTCTGGGAAAGAGCCACAATTTTGAAGTCAAGTAACTGGATTCCATTCCGTGATGCTGCTCTTTCTCACCACATATCTTAATGTCAATGACTTAATCTTTCTGACCCTAAGTCTTCACATCTGTAAAATGGGTATAACAGTACTTCCCTACCTACCTCACAGGGTTGTTGTGAGGCTTGAAAAGATTCTTGTATAAATAGTAAAATGCTATGGAAGTCAAATATAAACTATTTTTTTTTAAGAAGTGTTGTTACACTTTTTTTTCCTCCTTTGAAGCTAACTGTAAGTCAGTAGGGGCTAGACAAGTCTATATTTTTATTTTTTTAATGTATTTTACTTTTTAATCTCTGCCAAATAATCGTACATTTTTAAGGGCATACATTTTAAGCAGTGGATAACCTTTTAGGGTTGAGGACAATTTTCATTGTTTTTTTTTGCGGTACGCGGGCCTCTCACTGTTGCGGCCTCGCCCGTTGCGGAGCACAAGCTCCGGACGCGCAGGCTCCGGACGCGCAGGCTCAGCGGCCATGGCTCACGGGCCCAGCCGCTCCACAGCATGTGGGATCTTCCTGGACCGGGGCACGAACGCGTGTCCCCTGCATCGGCAGGCGGACTCTCAACCAGCGCGCCACCAGGGAAGCCCCAGTTTTCATTCTTAATTGTTAGAAACATCTTGACCAGCTGGTACTGTAGATTGTGCCCAATGCATATCTTCTGTTGTGCACAGTTTTTATGGCTTATGTGATCATACTAACGAAGATAGTTGAAGGATTTTGTAGAAAAGAAGAATTATACTCATGATATTTGATTGTTCTTATCTATGACTATATTTTTATTTCTTATGATTAAGTTGCTTACAACTTGTGTTCATAAATAACATATCTAATATTTAATTCTCCTTGACTTGTAAACATGCTTTATAAAACAGTTTTCCTGTAAAAATTATTATTATATTTCAATATCTTTAAATTTTAAAATGCAGCTAGTGATACTAAAAAAAATCTGTTTGCAAATTGTTTTAATAATATGAATATCCTAAACAGCCTTAATAGTTTGTTAAAAATTAGATAACGTTGTAGCTCCCTACTTTCTGTAAATTCATTTTCTCAGGACATGTTTCTTTGTTTCTTTTTGGCTGCATTGGGTCTTCGTTGCTGCGCACGGGCTTTCTCTAGTTGCGGCGAGCAGGGGCTACTCTTTGTTGCAGTGCGCGGGCTTCTCGTTGCGGTGGCTTCTCTTGTTGCAGAGCACGGGCTCTAGGTGCACAGGCTTCAGTAGTTGGAGTGTGCAGGCTCAGTATTCTGGCATGCAGGCAGCAGAGCACACTGTCTTCAGTAGTTACAGCACACGGGCTCAGTAGTTGTGGCTCACAGGCTCTAGAGCGTAGGCTCAGTAGTTGTGGCGCACGGGCTGAGTTGCCCCGCGGCATGTGGGATCTTCCTAGACCAGGGATTGAACCTGTGTCCCCTGCATTGGCAGGTGGATTCTTTTCTAATTTAATTTTTTTTATACAGCAGGTTTATTAGTTATCTATTTTATGCATACTAGTGTATAATGTCAATCCCAATCTCCCAGTTCATAGCCCCCCACCCACTGCTTTGCCCGCGAGTGTCCATATGTTTGTTCTCTACATCTGTGTCTCTATTTCTGCCTTGCAAACCAGTTCATCTGTACCATTTTTCTAGATTCCACATATATGCGTTAATATACGATATTTGTTTTTTCTCTTTCTGGCTTACTTCACTCTGTATGACAGTCTCTAGGTCCATCCACGTCTCTGCAAATGACCCAGTTTCATTCCTTTTTATGGCTGAGTAATATTCCATTGTATATATGTACCACATCTTCTTTGTCCATTCGTCTGTCGCTGGGCATTTAGGTTGCTTCCATGACCTGGCTGTTGTATTTAGTGCTGCAGTGAACATTGGGGTGCATGTGTCTTTTTGAATTATGGTTTTCTCTGAGTATATATGCCCAGTAGTGGGATTGCTGGGTCATAGGGTAATTCTATTTTTAGTTTTTTAAGGAACCTCCATGCTGTTCTCCATAGTGGCTGTATCAATGTACATTCCCACCAACAGTGCAAGAGGGTTCCCTTTTCTCCACACCCTCTCCAGCGTTTGTTGTTTGTAGATTTTCTGATGATGCCCATTCTAACTGGTGTGAGGTGATACCTCATTGTAGTTTTGATTTGCATTTCTTTAATAATTAGTGATGTTGAGCAGCTTTTCATGTGCTTCTTGGCCATCTGTATGTCTTCTTTGGAGAAATGTCTATTTAGGTCTTCTGCCCATTTTGTCAAATGGGTTTTTTGTCTCTTTAATATTGAGCTGCATGAGCTGTTTATAGATTTTGGAGATTAATCCTTTGTCCATTAACTCGTTTGCAAATATTTTCTCCCATTCTGAGGGTTGTCTTTTCGTCTTGTTTATGGTTTCCTTTGCTGTGCGAAAGCTTTTAAGTTTCATTAGGTCCCATT